TTCAAGTTACATGAAAATAGATCGTGTGATTCTTTTTGCATATAGTACTATCTTGTATTGACCTTTTGCAAACAGCTACTATACATTTGATGGATATATGCAATCCTGAATTTTTTCCTCAAGGTAAAAATGTATATACAGAATGCATTGATGCATCCTAATTTTTGCAAACAAAGCAATTTTTGTTGATATCATAGATTGTATGAGTATAGTCAAAAGGCCCTCTTACTTATCATGTAAATAGGATTAATGGGCGTTCTAAAAAGGCTTTGGGAAGGGAGGCCATGGAGAGAAGATCAATCAGGTTCAAGTAATGCTGACACCATCTCCGTCATCCATACATAATTAGGAACCTGTGGATAATGGTGGCGACAGAATGGCGCCAATTTCTTATCCAACTATAAAATTAAAAGTCTCCAATTTTTCACACTCAGATATTCATACAATTATCAACAAATGTGATTTCTCCTTCACTTCGGCAATTACACCCTACGCCCGCGAAACAACTAACTTACGTGACCACTTTATTCCAGAATGCATCTCAGCTATATAAACCCGCTCTCACCCTGCAAACCCATGTGCATTCTAAAGTTCAACAATTAGTCTATGATTTAGAAGATTATTCATATATAAACGTAGTATTAGGTTCAAATGGAATGTTAGCAGAGCCCATTTTCAAATCATTATTTTCCGCCACAAACCCTATATGTGGAAGATTGGGATAAGGTGTATCTAGCATAGCAACAACATACGGACATAAATAATTCTTCATCAATGACTCATTTGTCCCAAAGAATAAAAAGTTTCTTTAAATATCTGATTTTTAAAAATTTTATAATAATTTTAATTAAAAATAATATTAAATAGCTTGTTATTCAAAATTATATTATTTAACTATCCAAAATTTATATTCAAATACAAATTTTTATTATATTAACGTTAATAATTTATTTTTAAAAATTATAAACCAATAATATTTTTATATAAAATCTTAATTTAATTTGTTTACTATTTAAATAAGTTTGAGGTTTATTTTATAAAGGTTTTATTTAAAATATTGCAAAAATAATTATTATACTTAAAATCTGGATTTAAAAATTTTGTTATATATTCGGATTTGAAATTTAGTTATATAATCGGATTCAAATTATATATATATATTTAAAATCGGATATTAATAGGATATCTAGTTATATATCCGGATTTAACTATTTTATAAACGGATTTAAAAAAGTATATACTGTATAATTATATACCTGGATTAAAAACAACACTTATAAGGATACATCAGATCCAAGATCTATATAAAAGTACCGTATATGGCCATATAAAATAACACACTCTGACCTATCGTGTACAGAAAGCTTCTCATCGAAGATGATATAGTCGCGGTTATTTTTTTTCGTACAATGGTTTTCTCGATAACAATAATTTCTGTAAAGGAACTTTTAATATTCCTGGTTTAAAATACTCTGATAAACTTTTATTCAATCCTTTCGCCGTATTTAAAGACGCAAAGTGTTTTTCATACGTTTATTTTCTCAGAATACTGAAATCGACCATATTAATTTTATAAATTTGTTGATAAAATGCCCGTTTCCAAACATTTTGTTCATTGGTTCACATATCTGGTGGCCACCTTCGCCAGCATCCTGATTATCTTTTTCATATTTTGGACCATAGTGATAGCCTTTATTGTCGGAGCTGTGATTTTTATGGTCAAAGGATTTTTCATATTTTTTGGTGGACTTAGTAGTATTTGCATTTCGTCCACTTACCTTTCTATTTGCATAAATAAATATCTAAAACCTCTTCTTTTGTATCATTTAGTTCTTACCTATCACAGGAATTGTTTTTCTGATTGCTTTAATTTTCGGTCTTATCGGATTCGTAAGTTAGTATAGTTTTGATCGACAAACACGTTTCCGGATACAGTAATTGCATGACGAAAGTTTTACTTAATATCTTTTCAATCTACACGTTCGAAGGATCTCCAATTACCAGACGAACCGTTTGACGGAAATAAGTAAGCAAACATTACGCACGCTATCTTTTTAATATTAACTTGAGTTTATTGCAGGTTCCTCTTAAAATTGGTTCAAACGTATCAGTTGAACATTACAACGCTTTCCTTGACCGTTGTGAGTCATCTGTATACAAGTTCCAATTAAGAGATAACGGCGACGTATTCATTATTGATATGGCATATAAAGAACACGCGTCTGTTGTTTCGCTACTACAACAATATTTCGGAATTCCTAACGGTGGTGTTTACTTTGATCCTCCAATAGATGTTATGGGTCAACCATGTAATTAATTCCCACCAGTTTGTTCTTTTGGTTTCTAATCTATTTCCAATATTTTTGCATTCATCCTATAGTTCACTATTGTCCATCTGGAAACATCTGGAAACGGAGAAAAGATTTCACCAGACATTGCTGTGTATTGTGAACGTGATTTTCGGCGAGTCTGTCGCTTCTTGGACCAGCACTCGCGTAACGTTCAGGTGGGTAGGTTTCTT